CCCGAACAACCGTGGCAACAGGTGACAATGGATTTCGTTACGGGCCTACCAGCTGGCGCAAGTGGCAACGACTCCGTGCTCGTCGTTGTTGATCGCTTAACGAAAATGGCGCATTTCGCACCATGCCGTACGACGATCACAGCCGAAGAAACAGCGAAACTCTTCATCTCGACCGTCGTGCGCCTACACGGGTTACCTTCGGCGATCGTCAGCGATCGAGATCCGAAATTCACTCCGAAGTTCTGGCAGGAGACATGGGCACAGTACGGTACCCGCCTGCAGTTTTCGTCGTCCTACCACCCGCAAACTGATGGACAGACAGAGAGGACAAACCAGACGATGGAGCAGCTGATTCGCACGAACTGCCCCGACATCACCAAGTGGGAGGATTCCCTTCCTATGCTCGAGTTTGCGTACAATAACGCCCCATCTGCAACGACCAAGCAGTCACCATTCTACCTGAATTACAGGATAGATCCGGTGGTACCCTCGTCAACGACTCCCGACAACCCGGTACCAAGGTCACAGCAGTTTGTTTCGGAACTACAAGCAGCGCGCGACAAAGCAACGGAATTTATCAGGAAAGCGAATACGGCCGCCAGCCGCTACGCCGACCAACATCGACGGAATTTACCCTTTCGTGACGGGCAGATGGTCCTCCTGGGCACAAAAAACTTCAAGCTGCCCCAACCTGCAAAACTGCGTCCCCGCTACGTGGGACCTTTCCGCATCATTCGGATGCTGCCACCGGTCACTGCGAAACTGCTACTACCGGACGACTGGCATATCCACGACGCTTCCCACGCCAGTTTACTTCGCCCTTACGTGGCACCGCAGTCACCCGACGTCGCTCGACCCCACCAGGCGCCAAGTGTCCGACCGGTGGCGGATCCTACGCTTCAACCTTGGAAGATATTGAATCATCGCATTCGTGCGACCCCCGCTGGACGCCACGTCGACTTCCTACTACGCTGGGTGGATCGCACAAGTGACGATGACACGTGGGTCCCGGCTGGCTCACTACAAGGGCACTCGGTACTTCGGCAGTATCTTTCTCGCCGACATGTGCCTGATATTGACCACCTTTCTTGAGGGGGAGGGGGGGTAGTGTAAGGAATTTCGCTAATTCCTTACTGAGGCACCTCTTACGCGTACAATTCCAACTTTCGGAATTCAGGCTCGGTCCGTCGACCTCGCCTCCCGAACGTCTCCCGCGTCGCCTTCGGGTTTCCCAACCCCAAACCTACACCCAACCTTCGCGCGACTCCGCGACCTCGGCTTAGCTAGCTGTGCTATATTATGCCTAGGCCTCGTTGTTTGCTCAGTAGTTGTAATCACTTCCGCGATATTGCATTCTGCGCACTCTTCTTTCATACAACTTATAACACTTTGTCTTGGCGGTGACATTTTGAACGGATGTCATCAGGTCAGGTGAACGGCGGAGCGACGAATGGCTGTCCGTTGATATGTCGTTTTACCTTGGACTGCCCTAAATTCAAATTTTCTGAAGCGCTGCCCGCGAAACATCTTCCTATGTGGTGTCAGTTTCTGGCGATGTCGGAAAGTTGCGGCGACCCAGCCCGTGGTGCACCATCACGTTTCACAACTTCCCTCCCCTCTCCCTTTGGTATGGATGGAGACCAATGACCTGTCAAGACAAGCCTTCTCCCGACGGCCCCTGGTTGCGAAACAAACGGCATTGGCGCGAACGTGCTCGAACCTGTCACTACAGACAGGCTCCCCCCAACGACTCTGTTTCGACGCTGCTTCGTCAAGGACCAAACCGAAACGTTTAGATTCGGCAGCTCACAGAGCAAGACTATTCGTTTGTGCGTTTTTTACGGCCTTCCGAGCCTAGCACATGTCCCTCCTTTCACATCACAGTGAAAGGCTCGGGAAACCGTAGCCTCCAAACACCGAGTCGCGTTTCCATTTTCCAAACGAAACACGGCTCGTTACTCCGCCCTCGCACCAGTCCCAATTGCTCAGCGCTTCGGCTCCACAGCGGGCACCACTCTGACGCGCTCTGCGTGTAAGCGATCACATCAGGGCGAAGGCGGAAAGGAGTTCCGAAAGCTGCGACATGCGGCATGGCACCTCGCCACTGCGACCCCATCTCCCCTGCCCAGGGACGTTTCCGCGCCTCGCTCCGCTCCGTGCGTTTCGCCGCAAACCAAAAATCACGTCATTGCGCGACCGAGGAAGCAAGCGCGGGATTGGAATCCTTACAAGTACCCTCGCTCACTTTTCACAACTCATTCCAACCCAAGCTTGGCACAGGTAAGCCTAGCCTGAGCAACTTAGTCTTCGTCTTCTCTACGTCACAGCTTTTCTCCAGCCCAAGCAACCATCCTCATTTCTCCTGTCTGCATCAGAAGTACCACCACTCCCTCCGCTCACGCCAGTTTACTGGCCACTTCTCCATCCGTCGCAATGGCTGCACGATTCGTCGCAATCCTCATCCTCGCCACGCTCGCCTTCGCATCGGCGAACGACGGGCCGAATACCCTTACCTCCCAACTGAGATCCGCGGGATGCTCGGGTTTCGCCAAGCTACTGGAGCAAGCCGATATGGTGATGGAGCTTGAAGGGAAGCTGGACTCGGGCGAAGCTACCCTTTTCGTTCCCTCCGATGACTCGCTCATGTACAAGGTGTCTCCCGCACTCCTCGCGTATCTTAAGGCGCCCGTAAACAAGGACATTCTCCGCAAGGTGCTGCTCTTCCACGTCGTTCCGGAGCGCATCTCCGCCTTCAAGTGGGACGGCGACCATGCGACCTTGGAGGGGTCTCCCGCCGTTCTCCGCATGGACGCGCTAGCGTTCTATGTGTCGAACGTGGCTGTTAAGGAGTACAACGCGATCATCTCCAAGGACGCCGTGGTGCACTCGATCCGCGGCCTGCTCATTCCGCCCTCGCTTGAGGAGGCTCTCGGCTCCATTGACTTCGGCGCCGTCGACGTGCAGGAGGATGATGGCCGCCGTATCCTCGCCGCGCCCGAGTCCGCAGCCTCTCCCTCTGCCCCGCCTCCTCCTTCTCAGCCGACCGTCTCGCCGTCTCCTCCCGCAATCACTGCCCCTCCTCCCGCTACCACTGATTCCAAGCCTTCAGCCAGTACGTTTCTACCTTCACGCTCAGTATTTTTTGCTACCGTCTTCATGATTGCTCTGTCTGCCTTCGCGATAGCCGTCCCTGGTTACTTATTGCTCTCCTTGTTTCTTTTGCAGGGATCGTCGCCGGCTTCCGGTGGTTCGTGTCTGTCGCAGCCGTCGCCGCTTTCTCTCTCGTGTTGTAATCGGTTCGCAGTTACTATGCCCTTTCGACACTTTGCGGACAATTTAGTAAGATCAGGAGTAGGCTGTCAACCATGGTAGTAGGAGCAGTTTCTGGAGCCGAAACAACCCTGGTCAGTCGCATCGTCGCCCGTTCGCTCGAGTTCTTCATCGCCGGTAGCCCATTACAACGGGTTCAAGACGGGTGTAGGACCGGGGATGCATTCTTGGTCGGGGTGTGGTTGGCATATGACTTAATGAAGCATAGTGGATTCAGGAATAGGGTGCTCTTGTAGGTAATTCTGAACCGACTGTTAATGAATTTGGGTGAAATAAATTGACTCCAATGATTAAAGCCCGAGTACAGCATGGCATCTGGGAAGATTCTATGGACCTAGTTTCTGGCTATATCAGACACGTCTCGTATCAGCTTCGCGTGGTTAAATAATGTTTCAGTGTGTTTAACTGCGGTTGGATGCGTTTTAGTGCGTTTCGACGCGAATCTGATACGAGGTTGCCTGATGAGGCCGTAGGAACACGCTCTTATCCATGTGGTTAAAACCTCATCATGGATATGGAAGTAATATGGAAATGAGATTGCAGAAGATACTGGTACCTGTTTCCAAAGTTGCTGGAATGCTGGTATGTCCCACAAAAAGAACATTAACACTGAATGCTACAGCAGCTGGCAGTGTCACCTCACTTTCAGCTGACGCAAAACGTGAAGTGCGTGGAATGTAACTTTGTGAATAACATTATAACTTCTGAACACATGTACAATCTTGACAACTTGCAAAAAGCATAATGTTAAGGACCATTGTGAAGTGTTCATGGGGTTGGATGGGTGGTTCCCTGACAACCGCCCCCATACGGTAATTGAATGGGAAGGACAATTCTCGTCTCCGCATGAGATAGAAGAAAAGTATCCCCAAAGCGGCAAACGAACCAAGAGGAGGAGATTAGGAAGGCACATCTCGTTTCCCCCAGCTAAGAGTGATCCAGGGAGAAGAACATGTCTTGCAAAAACCATTTTCAGTGGTGAGCGCTAAGTCAAACTATGGGACAATGACCGCCCGACAGAAAGGGAGGCGGGCAATTTTAGACATTCTCGAGTTTGGCTTAGAGTTGCCAAAAAATCAAAGCTTAGAATACATGGGCGCTACAAATAACAAAACGCATAAATAGAATGATCTGGCAAACTGGTCGTATCAAGGAGCCGATGGGCCGATCAACTCATGCACAAGCAGGGGATGCGAGGAGTCTACATGGCCTTGGAGAAAGCGGAGTAGCCACAGTCCGTGGAGAGCACTCCAGACGTCTCGTAGTCGGCGGCCTTGCCGTCCAGGAAGCCCTGGCCGTTGTCGCCGTCGGCAGAGAAGGGAGTGCGCAGCAGCCGCGACAGCATGGCGTAGTCAATAGCACGCTCGGCACGGCCCTCACGGTACGTCTGCCCCATGATGCCGTGCACCGACGGGGAGCGCGACACGTGCTTGAAGTTGACGTTCAAGTGCACCTGCGCGTCGTCGGGCGTTTGCAGCAACGGGTGCGCGGGCCTCAGCTTGATGTCCATGGCCAGCTTGTCGCCGATGCGCAGCGAGTACGCGTCCACGTCGAAGAATCCGCCGCCCTCCTGCTCGTACCCCTTGAACACAAACGCCAGCCCGCCGTCCAGGTTGTACGACTCCCCGGGCTGAAACCACAGGTAGGGATGAGATGAAACACACCAAGGGCTAGTTTAAGCGGTATTCAGAAACGAAAGAGGAAATACGAGCACCCCTCGATAAGGGCAAGTGAGCAAGTGGGTAAGAGTGGGTGGGCTGACCTCGAGCGAGGGCAGGACGCGGCCGTCGAACTCGATGAGCGAGAGGAAGCCGTTGTCGCGCTTGTCCGACTTGCCGTTGCGCGCCGCCAGGCGGAAAGAGTGCTCCACGCCGTCAACGCTCCACACGAAGCCCAACTCGCGGATCCACGTGCGCACCGCCAACCCGTTGCGCAGCAGAGACGCGCCGATGGTGCGCGTGTCGTAGTACCCGCGCATCTTCATGTTCACGTGCAGGCTCGAGTCCGTCAGCAGGCAGTACGACTTCTCCGGCGCGCCGTTGAACTCGAACCGCGTGCCGTGCGCGCCGCGGAAGTGCGGGTCGTGCTTCGTGTACGGGCAGGGGCGGCCCAGAGTCGACGCATTCACATACGTGCGCGTCACGCCGCCGACAACCACCGTGCGCGTCTCGCAAGTGGGCTGCGCGTCCGTGGGCTTGTACAGGTAGCAGATACCGCAGTTGGAGCACGCGAGCGACGACGGGATGTAGTGCTGCCAGAAGGAGCACGCAGTCGAATTGGTGCACGCCGCGCAGCACTGCCGGCGCAGAACAGCGTTGCCGAAGCACCGGGGAGTCAAGCCAGTGCCGCAGCGCCCGCCATTGGGAATCACGTAGCGTCCGTTCAAACCGCTGTTGTCGGTACAGTTGTCCGTGCAGGGGATGTCCAGAGGAGCCGTGCACGTCGTCACGCCTGTAGTAGGGTACTTGCCGTCGTTCCACAGAACTGTTGGAAACAATCAAAACAAAGCAGCGTGAGATGTATGATAGACATTCAAACCTCAAATCACGGGAAGAGCAACAAATGTCCAACACAGCAGTACCACACGTACTTTTAGAGGAGGTAGTGCTTGGGGAGGTAGTGGTCGTCGTAGTAGTAGTGGTAGAAGTGGCCGACTGCGCAGTCGTATACGCCTTGTAAGCAGTCGTGTAGTCATCGTTGGCCTTGGAGGCCCACGTGTACGCCTGGGTCTCCGCGACCTTAGCGTCGTCAGCCTTCTTCTTGGCAGCCGCCAAAGCAGTATCCGCATCCGACAGCTTCAGCTCCAGTTCCACCTGCTTCTGCTGGGCGGCCGTAAGATCGTTGTCCTTCGCCTTCAGCGCTGCGTCGGCGGCGTCCTTAGCCGCCTTCACGGGGTTGTACGCGTCGGTAGGAGCCTTAGCGTCAGACACAGCTTTGTTGTAGTCAGTTTGCGCCTTGGTCAGGGCCGCCAGGGCAGTCTTGATGACACCGTCCTGCCTCGTCTTAGCCGAACCCGTGAGGCCAGCGCCCTTCTTCACCTCAGCGTCGTACTTAGCCTGGGCTGTGTCGAGCGACTTCTTCTTGGCCGCCACGTTGGCGACTGCCTTGTCGTAATTAGACTGGACCTTAGCGAGGTTCTTCGCGGCGTTACCGACGATCGTCGAGGCAACATTCTTAGCCGTCTGTGCGTTTGTCACTCCCGTCCTAGCAGCGGCAACAGCTGCCGCGGCGTCGTCGTAAGCTTTCTGGGCCTCACCAACCGCCAGCTCAGCGTTAATCCGCTCCTGAGTCTTCTGGGATGCCTGCTGCTGCATTGCAAGGGACTTCTGCTTCAGAGCCTGAACATCAGCGTTTGTAGGAGCGACGGTAGACGTCGTTTTAATCCTGTTAGTTTTGCCAAGGGCCCCGGCACTAACAAGTAAGATCAACAAAGACACCAAGAGAAGCCTGGGACCCATAGTGAGACGCTTGAATGACTTCGGAGTAACCAGGACCTGTAATGTGCTAGGCGAATGGAGTTGAATCACTAAGAGAAGGGCGAATTTCAACTGCTGCTCGACTGCCTGGATGATGAAGTTCGATCGATCTGGAATTGTAGGTGTTGGAGTGAAGACTAAAACTGTTGTTGAGTTGGGGCTGGGGGGAAAGGAAATTCAAGGGTGGGAGACGTGTGCTGGCTTCTCACTCGTCGTTGTTGGCGAACACCTGAGATTACCCTGCGACTCGTCTGATGGGTCTAGACTCGCTTGATTCAACAACCTCACCACTGTGCTGGTGGGTGAACGATATAACATGCACTGTAAAGAACAGCGGTTTGTGTGGGAGTTTTGTCGCGGCCTCAGACAGATGGGAGAATCGTTCCCCCGTCCCGAGAAGGACGACACGAAGTCGAGGGTTGCGATATCGAGATGTTCGTTCTAAAAGGCACAGAAGTGTGCATGGACAAAACGAATAACGAAGACTAAACGACAATTCTTGAAGTCGAGGCAATACGGTCGAGTCATCCCCCGAGATAAGCTCAGGACGCGGCACCTCTACCACCATCCTCCGCAGGATCGAAAATGTGAGGAGTTCGAAATGGTGCTGAAAGATGTATATTCTTTTAGCAGGTTTCCAGCGCGGTGGAACCAGCGATCCTGAGATCGATCGTGCAAAATTGCTAGAGGTGCCGCGTCCTCAGGTGTGCAGATTTAAATCTCGAGTCACAACTCCACAGGGGACTTAGCCAGGATCTGCCTCAGGGTTGTTCGTGTGAAAGAATGAGGAATGAATGAACTAGGAAAGAGGTGGGTACAAGTAGGAAAACCTAGAAATGTTGTACCCCATATAGTCTACCCCACTACAGCCTACACAGATTATAGCATATAAGTTTGACACACCCCCATAGGCAAAGTGGGGGAGAACAAGAGGTCACAAGACCAGTCAAGCAAAGCAAAACAAGCTCAGGGTGGATCACAACGTCACCAGACAATCCGAGGACAAGAGCAAGGCCAAAAGGCCAATTCACATGCAAGATCATATATTTAGGTAAACAGGCAAGTGCAGGTATAGAAAGATCACAGTACAAACGAGGTCAAGAAGTGAGCAAGTGAGGCCAAGTAGGCACAAGACCTAGCATCGTACATAAGCGCTGATGATCACAAGGCGGAAGTGCCTTGGTAAAGATATCAGCAGTGTTGGCCTCAGAGGCCACGTAAGCAAGGCGCACCTGACCACGCTGCTGCAGCGCACGAGCAAGAAAGTAGCGGAGAGCAATGTGCTTCGTTCTGTGCTCCAGTCTGTGCTCCCGACACAAGGCCAGCATGGCCTTGTTGTCTACGTACAGCACTGGAGGAGAACGAGGCGGCTCTCCTAGGTCAGTCAGCAGGTAGGTGAGCCAGCGTAGCTCCTGTGCAGCCATGGCCCCCGCGTAGATCTCAGCCTCACAGCTGGAGCCAAGAACAGAAGACGAGCGGGTAGACCGCCACGAGACAGAGCCGGAGCCAAGACTGAAGGTGTAACCCTGTAACGACTGCTGCGTAGCCTGGTCGTCAGCCCAAGAAGCGTCTGCGTGACCTGTGAGGACCACTCGATGTCGCCCTCCAAGCACTAGCCCCATGCCCGACGTACTGCACAAGTAGCGCAACACCCTCTTCGCTGCAGCCATGTGCTCTGGTCGGTGTCTCCCAGGAGCAACATAGCGTGCCAAGATGCTAAGAGGGTATGCAAGGTTAGGTCGTGTGCAGGTCATCAGGTACATGAGGCAGCCAACAAGCTCTTGGTACGGGCCACTCGGCTCTACGGACTCATCCGAAGGCAGAGCTGAGAGCGAGTGGCGAGTAGACAGAGGAGTGGCCTGAGGCGAGGAGTACGTGAAGTCGAAGCGCTGAAGGACCTGCTGCACCATGTGTGACTGAGTCAGGGTAATGGTGCGCTGTGCTCTGTCCCGGGTGATCTGCAAGCTAAGGTAGCTGCGCAGTTCACCCAGGTCTGTGCACGTGTGTCTCTTCTGCAGCTTGGACTTCACGTGGGCGAGTCCAGCAGTCTCAGCAGTGGCAAAGACCAAGTCGTCGACGTACACGAGGATGTAGAATGGCGGCAAAGAGGTGTCGGTGCGCAGAAACAGCGACGGGTCAGCAGTAGAAGGAGAAAACCCAAGAGCCGCAAGTGTAGTCCTCAGTGTGTCGTGCCACTCACGGGGCGCCTGGCAGAGACCGTAGACTGGCCGTCGGAGGCTCCACTGGGTACCAGGAGGAAACGACCCAGTGAAGCCAGGTGGGCGGCGCAGCCAGATCTCCTCGTGCAGGCTGCCCTGCAGGAAAGCTGTGCTGAAGTCAAGAGAGTGGAGCTCGTAGTCGCGCTGAGCGGCTATGTGCAGCAGCACCCGAAGAGTGGTCATCTTTGGGGTGGGAGAGAAGGTCTGAAAGTAGTCAACTCCGTGCCGCTGACTGAAGCCTCGAGCCATGTAACGCGCCTTGAAGACAGGCGGAGAACCCGGCGGCCGCTTCACCCTGAAAATCCACATGCCACTGACGATGTTCGCCCCAGGTGGGGGAACCTCGTCGACGTAGGTGCTTGTGGACTTCCAGGAAGCCATCTCTGCGTCCATGGCTGACTGCCACTGAGAGGAGTAGGGACCCTCGATCCCCTCAGCGTACGATCGAGGAGTCGGGATGTCTGGTGCATCCGGGTCTCCCTCGGGAGCAATGAGCGTGGACACGAGATGAGGCAAAGCACCAGCAAAACACTGGAACTCCTCCTGCATGTCCTCAAGGACGTCCGTGCTAAGAGCACACTCACCCCCGACGGACGGAGGACAGACAGACTCAGACTCAGCAACAAGACTAGCAGCGTAGTCTAGACGACAGCGAGCAGCGAAGTCGACAAGCTCAGCAACTAGGGAAGACGCAGCAGTGGACTCAAAGGAAGGGTCAGTGACAACAGTAGCCAGGAGACGCGTGACAGAAGGATTGGCAACAGGAAGAGAGTCAGACTCCGGGTCAGCAAGAGTAGGAAGAGAGGACTCTGGAGGAGACGGCAACGGGACACGCAGAGGAGCAATGGAAGGACGCAGTGCCATCTGGTGTGTGCCTGGGACCGCAGGAGGACGCGGACACGCAGTACGACCACTAGTGCGAGCAGCACGAACAGGCAACGCAAGACGAGACGCAGGCTCACGGCGCTCAGCAACACCTCCAGTAGGACCAGTAGAGGGCGGGAGACCAAGAACCTGCTCAAGGAGCGGAACGAAGTACGGCCGCGGCCGCGCAGCCCCTTCTGAGCCAGCAGGGACAGCACCAGTACCCCCAGCGGCAGCACCAGCAGTAGTAGCACCTCCAGCTTCAACAGCGCCAACTCCAGCACCCCCAGAAGCACCAGCGCCAGCAGTACCTCCAGCGCCAACACCCGCAGCTCCAGCTCCAGCAGCTCCAGCTCCAGTAGTTGCACCAGCAAGTACATCACCAGCACTCCCAGAGGCAGCACAAGCGCCAGCAGTACCTCCAGCTCCAATAGCGCCAACTCCAGCACCCTTAGACGCACCAGCGCCAGCAAAACCACCAGCGCCAGCAAAACCACCAGTGCCAGCAGAACCACCAGCGCCGACACCCCAAGCAGCTCCAGCACCTGTAGCTCCAGCAGCACCAACTCCAGTAGGATCGGCAGCTCTAGCACCGCCAGCAGCTCCAGCAGTACCTCCAGCAGCACCCCCAGCCCCAGCAGCTCCAATACCGCCAGTACGAGCACCTCCGGGACCAGCAGCGACTGTAGTACCTCTAGCTCTAGCAGCACGGCTCCAGTGCCGAGCAAACCACTCGCGCAGCTTCTGCAAAGAGAGTGGCTCCCGCCTCGACGAAGCACCACGAGAGGCCACACGAGCAGACCCAGCACCCCCAGGCCCCGCACCCCCAGGCTCAGAACCCCCAGACTCAGCACCTTCAGGCTCAGCACCCCGAGACTCAGCACCTCCAGGTTCAGCACCCCTAGGCTCCGCACCCCTGGACTCAACACCCCCAGGGTCCTCACCCTCAGACCCGGCACCCGCAGGCACAGCACCTCTAGCAGCACCAGATTCAACAGCTACCTCGACAGGCTCGACTGCGTCTACCTGGGACACACCTGACGAGGCAGGAGCCTAAGGAGGGAGAGGGTCTACCGGGGGAGGACCTGGCGTAAGGAAGAGCGGCGGCGGGGGGAGGGGCGCAGTGCGGTAGGGGAAGAGACGGCAGTAAGGCACCGACTCGTCAAAGGTGACGTCCTGAGAGGACAGAACGCGGCGTGAGGTGGGGTGGTAAAACAGCCACCCAGGCGCGTCAAGGGGGAAGCCAAGGAAGACGCAAGGAACAGCACGGGGGGACAGCTTGTCCGCAGACAAGTCGCGAACAAACGCCCGAGATCCCCAGACCCGAAACGCAGACGCATCGCCAACCTTCCCCGTCCACAGCAAAGCTCGGGAGGTTTCCGGCATCGAGACCCTGGGGTGAAGGTTGAGCTGATGCGCTGCGTACTGAACCGCAAATGGCCACAGAAAATGGGGGGCAGCCGCATGGATCATGGACGTACGAGCGACGTCCATGACCATGCCAATGCGGCGCTCAGCAATCCCATTTTGCTGTGGAGAGGCTGGAAGCGTGAAGGTCTGGCGGATGCCCTGTGCTCGACGGAAGGCCCCCAGACGGGCAGAGGAAAGCTCCCCGCCTCTGTCAGAGTGCAGACGCGGAACAGTAAAGTCCGAGCCGAAACTCTCTCTGAGCTGGAGACAAGCTGCGCGGATCCAGTCGATCAACACCTCAGTGACGTCGCCCTTGCTGCGCAAGGGGAAGACTGTGGTGTAACGCGAGTAGTCGTCAACCACCAACAGGAAGTAACGCTCGTGACCCTGGCCACGGACGCGGGTGGGGCCCCACACGTCCATGTGAAGAGTCTGCAGGGGAGCCTCTGTTGGAGGAAACTCGGAGGAGTGAGGGGCGGCGCGCTGACG